CAAAATATACATTTTTCTGATTTTTGGAAGACGAAAAAAAGTCGAAAAAATCGATACTTCGTATTCAAAGTGCCGCCATTTTTTTAATTTTCAATATTTTTCTTTTATTCTACTACCGACCATAGCGACATGCATACTAAATAACAATCAATTGGATTCTTTTATTTCTGATAAGCAGAACAGCTCAAATCATGGCAACCATGGACCTACTTTTTTATTTCATGCTCCTGTTTGACGCGTTCCACAGCAGCCATATTTAATTATCTTTCAACAAAAAAAATTTGTAACGATTCTTCAAGGACAAGTAAATACATAAGAATAAAGCTCATGTTAATAACTGTTGCCGTACTTCTGTAATAAATTAGCAAAGAAGGCCTAAAAAGCGGCCGTCGCACTAGAAGACCCCCTTAATCCCCCACGATTCGCATTATTCAAGGCACAACGAAGCGTACGAAACAAGCAGGAAACGTTCATCGCGAATGGCGATTTTAAGGTGAGGATGAATCGTTTCTCATCGTAACAACGATTCTGACATCTGTCAAACGGTTCCGCTAAACGCGACACCGTATTAGAAAGTCAATGCACTCACCGGTTGTGTACATGGCGACACCCTTCAGGGTCACTGGCTCGAGAATGGCAGGCTCGCTCCTCCCCTTCGCATTAATCGCGTACAGAAAAAGTCGATAACTCCTTCCGGTCGTTAGGCCTGCCACCTCGAAAGCTGGCTCGTTCGGGCTACCCGGGACGGTTTTGTTGAATAAAATTGGCCCGCCGTCCTCGTCGCCTACCACTTCCAGCTGGTAGCTGTCAATCGGAAGGCCGCCGTTGTAACCCTCCAAGCAACGAACTATCAGCCCGGTTCCAGACTTCGCGATCAGCTCTTCAGCGTCCAGGGGCGCGGACATTTCTGTCGCGCTGCAATTGTGCAAAGCGTGCGGACGACCCGCGGCTATCACCTGCAAAATCAACATTCGAGACTGCAGGTTTGTTTAGCTTTGGAAATTAAAACGTTAGTTTTCGCGTTCGCGTTGGGTTGAACGTTGAATCGAATGCTGAATAATTGGGCCAACTGTGTATACCGACTAACTAATCATCTTTTCTAGCTGTGGTGTATTCGACGAGGCAGTTTTTGTAATTTAAACGGTTTCTAGAGGTGAACGAGATGGGAGATATATTTTTTTGATGGCAGAAATAGGGAGTAATGAAAGGAAGTGTTGACATTTTAGGGTCCGAGGTGATCTTAACGCTTATGTCAATAACCATAATTGTCTACTTTAATAGTTTCCTAATAACAAAATTGTAAACTTGAAGCTGTCGAATCCCTTTGTCCCTTGACTCCCATGCATACAGATCCTTATCCCAGGTACCGTTTTGACAACTACCTCCGCGTTTTCCACTTTCCCACCGAATTCCTGTCCTATCTTCGGCAGATCTTCAAACTGATACACTCTACCCATTTCTTTTGTACCGAATCCTTAAGTTCATTACCTAACCATTGTCCCTGCAATTCTTCTCCCGTACCATCGAACCCTCAATCCTAACGAGTCCTGATCATTATCCTTACACATTCCTGGTCCTTACCTAAATTCCCCCACCCGCAACTTCCAAAAACCCCAATATAAAGGCAACCTCGAAAAAGAACAAAACTCAGTCAGCATTGAATAACAAGGCAGTTTAGGCCGTACACTTTATATTCGCAAAACCACAGTGTAAAGAAAAAACTATCAACAAATAAAGATAATTCGTAAAATCCACCGTATAAAGTGATTCGACGACAAAGCAAACACATCTGGCCGGATATTCAAATGTTTTCTCGAGAAGATAAAATATCTTAGATGAGAATTCATTATTGACGTAAGGGTTAAGGCAGTATTACTATGCACGCTTAAATGCGCATCGGTGTCAAAAAATATTAGGTGCAGAAATTAATTCTTTCCGACTTTTGGGTACAATCAACGTTTTCCTTAAAGAGAACGAAAACAGATTGATAACCATTGTTGACGAGATTTTGCCATTTTTCTAGCAACTTGGGAATACCATATCGCAATCCAGTCCATGTAGATTTGTGTAAAAAAATACGATTGACTATGAAAATAACAGAAGAAAAGTGTCTCGTCTTATTCACCCTTTGTCGCGTCGCGTTCTTTTGCGATGTTCAAAAGGAAGCTCGCGGTCGCGACTGTTACCCGCCAAATTAATTTTGGGCAACTAGTTCAAATTTGTTTTGCTCGGAACGTAGCAAACGTAGAGTACGTCACGAAACGATTGACGACTTGTTTTAAATAGCTCGAGTGTTCGATCGCGACTCGAAATGTGCGTGATGTCTCCTCGAACGGCTGGAGATCTAACGGTGTTCGCTCGATAGAACCTTTTCGAATCTGTCGCTCGATCGCCGAATTTTTCTGGAGTCCGCAGTGACTCCCCCGTCAAGTGCAAGAAGGCACGCTGATTGGTTTTTCACGTACGCACAAATTACCAATCAACGTGCCCCTTGAGTGTCACTCATCCTTCCGTTGCGCCCTTAGCGCGCTTTTCCTTGGAAGGAGTGGGGCCCTACCTGCGGGTGCGTGGAATCCTCGCTGTCCTTCGGTGACGCGTCGGAAATTCCCGCCAGGTCAACCCTCGGCCGAGAGTGCCGTTATACGCGCGTGTGGATTGACCCTTTAGGAACCCTGGTTTATAGCACGTCTTCGGTTATTGAGGACGCGGGAAAGTCAAAATTCTGAAGGCATTGTTCTGTAAGAAATGACTTATCTTTTCGCGGAGCTATGAAGCGTCTTTGTTCTCAAAAATAACCTTCTGGTGCGAGCGTGCCATAAACCCGGTCAACGAAGACCCCATGCGTTCCGTACCTGCGCGACGGAACAGTTACAACCAATAAGTTGGGGGTAACCAATCAGGAAAAAGAAGAGGGTGAGAAAGAAGCTCACGAGGTGACTGAGAGTCAGTCAAGGAATCTTCGCTGTCCTTCGGTGACGCGTCGGAAATTCCCGCCAGGTCAACCCTCGGCCGAAAGTACCGTTATAGGCACGTGTGGATTGACCACCATACCTGGTTTATGACACGTCTTCGGTTATTGAGGACGCGGATAAGTCGAAATTCTGAAGGCATTGTTCTGTAAGAAATGACTTATCTTTTCGCGGAGCTACGAAGCGTCTTTGTTCTCAAAAATAACCTTCTGGTGCGAGCGTGCCATAAACCCGGTCAACGAAGACCCCATGCGTTCCGTACCTGCGCGACGGAACACCCTTCGAGATCATTTTTTAAATTAACAAGAGCTAGATGGCCTGCTTCACAGAGCGCACTCTGTATAGGAATGTTTCGTTGCCATTTTGGAGAACATCGATTTAACATGTTGCGGCAGCAGCAGAGTTATGTTACGAGAAGTTCGGCTGTGGAAAATTTATGAAAGATATAGTATGCACATTTATGTCTGAAAATTGAATATCGAGGCGTGAGAGTTTCCGTGACTTTCGAATATTTCATGTTATCTTCCGGATTTATGGAATACGCCGAGGATATTTTGTATTACTGCGTTTCGGCTTCCTATGGATACAGAGCGTTGCAGTTAGCGCGTAATAAGGTGTGAGGGCGTAATTAGAAATTACATTGCCGTAACTAAGTTTCGTGTTAAATTTGAGCCCTCCTTCCACCTTTACGATTTCACTTTTACTTAAAAAAATTAAAAGGAACAGTGATAAGAATAAAATTAAAAAGAACAGTGCCTTTTCTTATTTAACGAAACCTTTGCCCTTGATAAACAATAATATCAATTTAAATAAAAAATACCACGAATTAATCTAAGCTCGAATATTTTTTCCTTTTTGATAAATCTTTCTCTCAGACGAAAATTTACAATTTCTCTTACCATTGTCTCTTTCCCCTCTATTTTACAATATTTTCTGCATATATTTCTGTTAGAGATCACATAGTATAACTAATCGACAGAAAATCGTCATGAAAATCTTCGAGAATGCATTCTCAATGGATCATGTCGAAAATCGATAAAGCTCGTTTTGGAATTTGTCGAAAAGTTTGCCAACTTAACACACGTTTGTACAAGTGTGTAGAAGTACGTATGTGCGTGTGTGTACATGCATATAGGGTATTCCATGATCGATATAACTACGCTTAGATTGAACAGATCAATGTAACAATCATGCGGTATTGTGTTGACTTAATTAATTGATAGGGCTTGATTGATGGGGTTGATTGAAACCTATACGTAACGTCATATAGACATTCATTACTGTAAGCATTCGTGGCCATGAATGAACTAATGATAAAAATTCTTCACCTAATCTTGTTGCATACACTAATGACCCCGATTGATAAGACAAATTACAGGTTGTCGAAACTGGGATTAACACGACAAAAGCTAATCTACACGTAGATTTGATTGATGTGTTACGTGAACGTAATTAGCATTGCGAAAGTGTTTTTACTCGTGGTAAATCTCCTGTATTCGCCCGCTTCTGTCTTTATCCTTTATTCCCAGCGATAACGGGCATTAATTTACGCGAAGAATTACAGAATGGAGCTTTCGCTAGCTTTTTTCGCGTTTTATTGTTTAACTAAAAAAAAAAAGTTGCACCCCAATTAATTTTCTTAAAGACTACCGGATTTATTTTTCCCGGAGAATCACAGAATGGAGTTTTCGCTTGCTTCTCCTTTGCATTTTATTGTTTAACCGAAAACTGCACCCCAATTTATTTCCTCAAAGATTACCGGATTTATTTCTCGGGAAAATTGCAGAATGGAGTTTTCGCTCGGGTGTTTTGCACATTTTATTGTTTCAGTAAGAACTGCAGGTCGATTTAGTTTCTTGAAGATTACTGTATTCACTTTTCTGGAGAACGGTTAGGTCAATACTGTAAATCTCGATTTGACAAATGAGATGATTTGCGAAAACAGCCTAAAATCGATATTTGAAAATTTAACGTCGATTGTTACCACGTTAATTAATAAGAAACGAATTCTTATACTTCCAGTCGACGTAATCATAAATAAATAAAAATTGTCATTTCCAAAAAAAAAGCTTAAGTATTGCGAATAAGAAGAAATTGGTAATATCTAAAAGACAAAAGTGCTCGATACTACAAGATCGATAAAGTTAAATAGAAATCTTAAAAGAGTCGCTATACAAAGGCAAAAAATGTAAAAGAAAACTTAAATAGCAAATAAAAGCGCATAAAATTCGAAGCTACATATTTCCATTTCCGCTTTACCCATAATAATGCAAAACACCAAACGATAAACATAAATAATATTCCGAGAATTAATTTCCTTCCGAGAAATGTAAGATTAATTAAGGGAGAAAAACAACGATTCTTTTCACGTGAAAATTAAGCACCGTAGAAATAAAAGTTTCATCGAGGAAGCGTTGGGTGAACGTTACAAGGGTTAATTAACCTCTTAACTAGAAATCTCGAGTAATTTCCTTCGTTACAGATGCACGACCGATTTTCACCTTAAATTATTTACACCGCGCTCGTAGATATTCTTCGCTGAAAACGGACTGAACATTTTCCATTCTCAAAGAAATTCGATTTCGAGCCATTAAAAGCAATTCTGTGTTTGCGCGTCCGATCTGGAACGAAGCCCGGTCGAATTCGAATAACGTATATCGGTGAAACGGTGTCCGCATTTCTCTGTAATCGAACCAATCCTTGCTGCTGATTTTTTCAATCATAAATGAACCTCTACCTTCCAAGATTCCTATGTGCACACGTATGTACGTATCCGAGCTCTCTTCAATCTTTCTTCTCCTTTTGTTCGTATCGAACGCGCTCGTATACTTCGCGGGAAATCGGATATTTGATTAATGGATAATTGAGCTGATCCAACTGGCAACTTTGCATCGAACATCAATCATTCGAGATATTGACGAAGGAATGCGTTTCAACGGGATATTGATATATGCACTCTTCCTTTGGTATTGGCAAGATTTCTGCTGGTATTTAGATTTGAAATTGCTGAAACTGAATTTTAAGTTTCTTACCGCGAAATGGGAGATTTAAATGTAAAACAGCTGTCAATTGATAGATTGGATTGAGGTAAAAGTGACAGTAGAGTTGAAGTATTTCTTAATACAGAAGAAGTGTTAAAATTACAAGACTGATAAATTTAATTTCCCTTGAATTTACCACTATTTCTATATTTCTCGAAATTTCGAAAAATACCTTTGTGGCGGGTACGTCGTCGTCAACAAACCCTTACCGAACCTCGTTCTATTCTTCCACGCGAACTGTCTCTTTTCCAACTCCTTCAGATTTTAGTTTCCGTTCTTTTGTCTCTCCCCGGGTTAAGACTTGCCTTCGTCCTCGAGTAGCCTAAGAAGCGCACATGTGGCATCCAGGTTCGCACGAGGACGAACGAATTTTCCGTTTCCACCACTTTCTCCGCTTCTATCTTTATCTATCGCTACTCTTGTCTCCCTGTCCTAACAATATAATGTAGGCATTTTGGGACGGTTTATGGCTTGGCCTGCGCCTCTTGGCGAGTCACAAACACCAGACCCATCGGTTCGGCCCACCGATATCTTTGCCATTCGACGGGAGTCGGTTCTTAGCTTCCGTAATAGACGGACGCCGAAGAGTTCGAAATAAACTACTTTGCACGACATCCTGATTTGAGTAAAGTTCATTAGATCACCTCCTACAATAAAAACCCAGTACGCCTACACCACGAGAGTTGGTTCCTTTACCGACAATCGCGACGTACCCGCCGAACCGCTTCCGCCGGGACAATCAACAACGTAAACGATTGTATATTCTGGACAAATTGTACGCCTATGCGACCATACACTTATACTTTAATAATTGAGGTGAAAACAGTGTGACGACGTTCCTCACCCACCTCACCTTTAATAGGAAGCTGTTATCACGTTTACCAAGAAAAACCATCATTTTTTTTTTTATTTCTGAAAGTATGACAGTAAGGGAAGCTTCAAATCAACGCCCAGAACTTTTAAAAAAATTTTTATATTTGTGTCAAACTTTTTTTTTTTGCTTCGTCAACGTGTGTTGTAAATATGGTTGGAAAATTAAAAAATTCCATCGAACAGTGAAGTCACAAATAAATCTTTTGCAAAAGTATCATATAACTCTAGGTTTATCGCACAAATGTGATATATTTCATTTCCAAAATGTAGAATTACATTCATAGACTACTTTTTGACATGTACAAAATTTGAAGAAAGAAGCGCACACAGGAATAAAATTTAAACGTTAAAAGTTGAATGTGTTACTCGAGGATTTCGAACGGCAAAAGCAATATTTTAGTATTTCTGTGATGGAACTGATGTCCCTCCAGTTGCAACAATGGCGTTCCTCTGTTAGCAGAGCTAAAGTCACGTATCAAGTTTCATTTTCCTCGGTTCGTTCGTTCGAAAGATATCGTAACTCACACGCACACAGTTCCACCGACATCACTTCGAAAATGGTCAAATCGTGTTCATGTTCAAAACGTGCAACTCTGTCGAAAAGTCAAAGTCGAATTTTTTACTCTGTCCCTGTGTATCGCCTGCGAGGTGTCAGAAATAAAATAGCAGACACGCGAGCCGTAATAAAAACTGCAGCACTCGCAAAAACCTGGTAGATCGAACTGTTTCCTGCTCTTTCAAAATTGCACTTTGAAAAAGACAAGAGTCTGACTGTGTTTACTTTAACAGACATTTAAGGGGTGCAAAAATTACGCTTCACTTTTACATCATCAGGAGAAAGTGACTTTTAATCGAAATTATATTCAATCATATTTCCAATTGTTTGGAAAACTCCAATATAAAATTCTTTTCTCTCGCGAGTTACGATATCATGTTGAAAAATTAAAATTTCTGTAACACACGTAATATGGACACTCTACTTAGCTACGGTGGTACGAGACAATTTTTACACGTAATTTAGAAATGAAAGGAAGTTTCACATTTGACTTAAAATTTTAGACTACAACATACAACAGAGAAAAACACATACATTCGATTAAAAAAATATAGGCAACTTTCAAAAATAAAACCAGAATTAGAATCCATTTAAACGATGCATGAAAATCTTCTACAACGATAGGTACCAAAAATAATTACAGCCTACCCTGTATATTATTTCATTAATTCGACATAATATCTACCTCTGTACTTTCCACAAATGATATTTCCTTCATTTCGACTTTCATTCGGTAAAGCAATACCAGCGCACCTTTATGGGCGCAACAAAAGTAAGAACCCGTATTAGAGCATTAGTAAACCAATTTTAATCAGCGCAACATACTTACTACGAAGCGAAACTGTTAGAAAATTCAGCTTACTCTAAATGATATTGCGTGTTCAGACGATTGCGAAAATTCGCAAGCTGCCCGGGCATCCCGAAGAGGAATGAGAGAAGTGCATTTACCTGAAAGAGGCACGGAGCTCGTTGCTTGCCAACCTGGTTGATCGCCCAGCACGCCACCGTGCCGTAGTCCATTTCCGTTGCGGGTGTGTAGTTCAGCCTGGACCCGTGGAATTGTTGGTACTCCTTCAGGCTTTCGGCGACCGACGGTGTCCCGGCCGCTGGCACGTGAGAGTAACGAGAATGAGGAACCTCCACCAGCTCTCCGGAATTATTGAATGTCCAGTGGAAAGTCAACGGTGCCGGATGACTCTCCACGGAACAAACCAACGATACGGTCTCCTGCTTCAGCGCGCCAACAACCACAGCGCTTCTACCCTCCTTGCAGACTGGCGCGTCTGCAAAACCACACCGTCGCACGTTTCTTTCTTATTCCAACGTTTAACGATTTTCTCAGGATAATCGCGTTAAGTGTGAGAATTGGAGAATAGAAAAATCCTTTTGTGTTGGTTTATTTTGATATTTTGTAATGATGAAAGTATTTGGGGAATGAGATATGAGGTACACGTGAAGATTAACGAGGATAAAAATGTAGGAATCGACGGAAAAATTTTTAGGTAGCCAACAGGGAATCGAACCCGGGACCTTCGGCTTATTAAACCGAGGCTTTGCGCGTTACGCCAATTACTCCCTCTCTATTCTCCCTTCGAGGTTTCCTATTTGGGCATGGAGGCCCCGATACTACAACTGTTATTATTATTGTTATTTTCATACATTTTGCGAACAAATAATTTATATCTAATAACAAAAAAAAATATGAATGATCGATTTAAAATGCGAGTTCCTACGATGACTAGAGTTGTAAAATTTCGTGTTAATGTGATCGAACGTGTGTTGCAAATCTGAAGCCGTAAGAATGTAACATAAACTGAAACAGTCATCCAGATCCAATTGACCTAATATAGAGGTAAGCTGGACGGTGTAACACTTGTCTAGTTACGTTTCAATGCTCTAAACGTCTATGCATAGATCGTGCAATTTAACCAATTCGAGAGTAACTTGACACTTGCTGAGGTAATCACTTATCGCTCGAGCATGTATCCCGCGCTGAAAATGAATTGTTCTTCGGAGAATTAGTCGTTGTTACCTCTTCGATTCGTTTAACTGGGTCAGAAATGTCAAAGCTTCGGGAATGCTTAAGTTGTGCTACTTTGCATTCCAACATTCGCTCTCGAATCGTATCAATTTAATTCCATCCTTAGAATATAGACAAGAATTTCCATTTCAAAAATACCTATTTTTACAAATTATCCATATTATCAGGAAATTCCTTTATTCGAAATTTTTAGTCGATATTTTCACTTCTACGCAATGTCAAATATTAAAATGTGAGAAAAGTAAACGGAAGAGTATGAAAACAATCAATTTTATAGGATAGAAAGATTGGTTATGTTAAGTATAAACGATGTTCATGTAAATTTACTGCACTGTTACAGTAACAGTCTACGTTTCAACCAATTGAAATTTCGAAAGTTGCAAATTAAACGGATGTTCAAATCCAGCTTCTTCTCCTCAAGAATTTAATTAACATATGCAAAGTGTCGATAAATTACTCTTTAAATGGTGCATCAGAAGTAACATCTTTCCATGAATCATAGTAAATCTACTCTTTCAAGCTAATTTTGAATCTGAATACATTTTAGACTTAACAAATTCACACAATTCATAATATTCCCTTAAACAACGACATGGACACATTTTTCTCTTTAATAATTTTAAATATTAAACTTAACCAACCTTAACAAACACCATATTTACCCAAAATTCTTCGAAGAATTCAATCTGGACTACTCACATTAAACTCAACAAAACCTCCAAAAATCGAAGTATCGATCGTCATCCCCAAACGCAAACACCGCATTTCCCCAAAATTTTGCGAAGAATTCAATCCGAACTACTCTTTACCCACACATTTTCTTTTCTCTCCAAAGAATCACCGTTGAAGAATGCTCGCAGAAAGGAAAGAACGAAAGTGGTAGTGCCAGGGAGAACGTTTAATATCCAAATGTGAGATGTGAACGCGTGAAACGGAAGAAGAAGCCCGACACCGTTGAACCGGTGGCTGGTTCGATCGATTGCCTAATAGGAAATTCCCTTGACATCGGTATTTGCAATAGGCCATGGCATACGGAAATTCCAAATGGCACGGGAGATGATTTACGACGGACGCACGAGATCACCAGACGGCTCCGTTTCAATCTGATGCGTTTAATGCACTACCGAATTAATTACCAATACGAGAAGTCGACGATACCGGGTGCCTCGACGTATCGCCGGGACTGCATTTGTCGATTGAAATGCACAGCACTCGACTACTCATTAGTACGCATTAGCCACCCGCTTGATGTTAACCGAGATGCGTGAAATGTTGCCTTACGGGCTGCCTCTTTACAGGAAAGGTGTACATTATGTGGAATTTACTTGTCGAGCTATTAGCAGGATAAATTACACCGAACGGCTCTTTCGAAGATTAAGCAGCAGACGAAGAGGGATACACTTGCAGCCATACTGTGAGATTTAGTTTTTAAATTGTACGAAACTATTCATGTACTCAGATCAGAATCAGAACCCAACTCATCAAATCAGAAGGATTTTACTTCGTTCGCGAGAAGAGAAGTTACAGTTGATTAGAATTTTATATATTTATAAATTAAAATTGAAAAGCAAGGATTGATGATTGTAAAAAAATTGACTGATAATACAATAAACAAACGAAAATATAGATAAATGGATATGTGAATTTCAAGTTACACAGGGTGATAGAGGGTTCGATTAAAATGCTTCTTAGATTCACTGAAAACCACTATGTAGCGAAGTATGTACAGTATATTCTCCACAAGTGTCAGACCGCAAGGAAGCTAAACCTGACACTCGCAGAGTCAGGGACTACGTTTTCCAGCCTCGCGCCCGCCTTTGTAGTTTGATGAACGTAGACAAGGACAGCGAATAAAAGATAAGCATGAAAGGTGAGTCGAGACAACCAAGGTATTTAAATATCAACTTTTTTAATTTTACGTTTTCTTATCCCGAAATTTTTCTTAACATATTAACGAGATTTTTCTCATGAAAATGACATAAAACAAGACATAATTTGAACAACATTTACTTATTACCACGTTCACTGTCACGCCAGATTTACAGGTTGCTGTCAGGCGGCCACAAGAAAATACATTTTAAGCATAGGATTTACGTTGCGAGACAGTATAATATTTACAATTCTGCCTGAATTTTTGAAATTCAGAAAAACACAGGTAAACTTCTATTGCATTTAAACGATATTCTTCACCAAACTGGACAAAGTACAGTAACACTTGTACTGACACTAGTGGAATCGACCCTACATTTTAGTGACACTTGTGGAATCGCCTCTACATTTTTTTTCTTTTTACGTGGAGGTAGACCGACTCTCCCTCTACATTCGACGGATAATGTGTACAGGTATTTAATGTAATTTTTTAGCAATTTGTTTTTGTAATTCAACCAAAGCGCTATATTATGAAATTAAATTAATCACTCAATAAGTATTAACATTAAATTGTTTCCTCGATATGGCCATGGTGATCATCAGTGACTGGAGTGCCTCAAATGTTTAGAATAATTAAAATAAAATAAATGTTGTCAACTAAAAATTTTGAACGTCATAGCTAGCTAGATATTATTTTCAATTGAAAACAAAAATTATAAAGCATAATACTATAATCCTATGCTTAAAATGTATTTTCTTGTGGCCGCCTGACAGCAACCTGTAAATCTGGCGTGACAGTGAACGTGGTAATAAGTAAATGTTAAAAAAAATTCCAGATGAAAAAAGGAAAATTAAAGAAATTATATTTTTCTATTATGATTTGTCGAGCCGTGAAATCTCGTAAAGGAAACCGACTGGTGTAGCGTTACACGCTTGACTGACTGCGAGCGAGATAACATGGGCGCAGCAATGACGCAGACCTAGGTGTAGGACCATCTATACTGTCACTTGTAGAATCCAAACTTACCGACTCTTGTAGAGAATTTACTGTACTACGAAACAAGTGTAAAACTCAAAGTAAATATAGAAAAAATATTTGGTAAATATTCAACGCTGATTTACTCGGAAACGAAGCCCGATACGAAAAAATGTTATTCTTCTTTTCCCACTTATTTTTGCACGTAGAGTCACCCTCTTGTCGCTTGTACCACCAGTTCGGAAACATATTGTATATTCAAATTTCCGCCAATATTGAATTTGCTACTAATTCTTCATAGATTTGTAATTGTAATAATAATTACCTCACTTCGATTAATTTGCATACTAAAACATTCTTCAAGTTGCTAACTTTCTTCTGTAAATTTTACGCAGATAAATAATATCTAACAATGTCAAAAAAAAATCCTGACAACTGAACGTCCGGATACACAGTTAACCGAATTCGTCAGCTAGAAGTGGCGCAGTCTTGGAAATTATTGAGTGACTCGGGCTGGAGGATCAATGGCAGCGGTCCAACGTCGTCTGAGGATGAGGGTAAAAACATTAGGATGGATTCGTGGTTCCCTTTAGTTCTGTGCCCATCCCCACCGTTGGTCCCTGGCTTAGCACATTGCCAGGCTGCGTTCACCCACACATGAATATTCAGTTACGCTTTACATATATTGAATATGCATCACAGCCCTTCCTTCCCTCTTAGGTCATTTACAAGATGCAGATACGCCGGGGCTACTACCACCGTTGCCGACCATTCTAATAGAATAACTCGTGCTGTGTGTTTTACAGAAAACTATCCACCCCTCTCTCTATCTCCTCTCACCCTCTTCTACCTCTACTCCTTCTGCTCCCGCCTTCCCTTTCACGCTCCATTTCTCACCGATTCTCCAAACGCCAGAAAGACCCCTTCGATTCTCCCAATTCCGGGAGAACGTGTACTCGGCCGCTACTTGCCATCGATTAAGTAATTATCGAACAGCCGAGGCGAGAGCTGGCAAATTAGGGAATTGGTCCGGGGAATAATATCAAGCTCGAGACCGCAATTCTATTCGCGACCTCTTCTGTTGTTCTTGTGATTAACGAGTGGCAGGGTTCGCGATTAGGCAAACCGGACGCTTTTGTACAACCGCGGAGGTGGGATAGTGTCGACTACTGTTGCTTGGATGAAATTTTACTTGGATCGTTGTTTCAACAAAGTTTCATCGGTCGTTTGCAGTAATTGGGGGACGTTTGTTAATTCGTGGTGGCAATCGTAGTTCGATTAGCGGGGGATCCGAGACGAACTGGATTTACTTTGGTTAGTAGACGTAGAGACGAGGTATTCATCTGTTGAAATTGAAAAAGTGTGTTTGTTACTTGAAGACACTTTGTGTCGTTGTTTAGGTAGGATAAGGAGAATTATTTGGGTGATTTTGAGAATCAAATTATGTTGTACCATTGTGGAAAATGATTTAATTGGTCTATTGGAATTCTAGAGAATCGAAGCTGAGAAAGTGTGCTCGTTATTTGAATTATAATTATAATTCTCCAGGTAGAAACAGAAGAATTATTTGTGTATTTTTGGGAAGAAGATTATGTCCTTCTAAATTGATTTAATTTTTTTATAAACGCGAGACAAAAATTATTCGCGAAGAATTCTACTGAATTAAATATTCTAGGAAAACTAGATACTTTGACAAACATTTGCTCGTCAATTTTAAATAAATTGCAATTTGCATTTATCATGTAAATTAAATAGCGACTGCCCCTAAAATAGAGTAATTTTTAAATTTGCGTAAGATAAAGAAGTGGGTATACTAAAGAATTATTGTTAAACTTGTTAGATGTAAGAGTGAGTAAAATGAACAGAAATTGACAAAAAGGTATCTGTAAACTCACACATTATTTGAAGAGTCACTGGGTTACTCTCAGATTTTCCCTCACTGTTGGCAGCAAGACAAGTGTAATCACCCGCCGAGTATCGGGTTATGCGCTGAAGAACCAGAGAATAATCACTGAGGACGATACCCACCGTAGCATTGTTCTTCAATTCTTTGCCCTGAAACAAATAGCGCCACTTTGCTTCAATATCTCGTTCCTATTAAATATTACTATACGTACACCCTTTATTTGCAAGCATTTGAAATATGCTTAAAATTCAGCAAATACCAAGATTAACATCTAACGTTATTCTTAAAAATTTATCCCATATAATAATTTACAAAACGTATGTAATTTTTGTCGCAAATCATAAAAAAATTTCTAACGAAAATAAAAACTACCACCGGAAAATCTAATTTGAAAAATTAATGCAATTCATCACTTGAAACTTTCAGATCTTACAAAATTAAAATTACTATTAACACAGTGGCATTTCTTTTAGCCTACAGAGTAGATGAGAGAAACAGTTATTTAAGATCACATTTTCCAAAGATTCGAAATAAGAATCCAAAAATTGCTATTCTTCCAGATTGAAACGACAATTTATTTATCTTAGAGTAAGAGCTGAAGGACGTGTATTGTATCGGTACTTACGTCTTTGAACCAGGCAAGCTTGTACGCTTTTGGATTAGCCTTGACTGAGCACTCGAAGTATACGTCGTCGCCCTCTTTGATATCATCCGGATTCAAGGTCTCTCCCATCTTCAGAGTCACCACTGGCTCATACTGTACGTCCAGCCTCCACTTGTCTTCCAAAGCACTTTCGGGAATAGAAGGGTTCTCCGCTCGACAAGTCAGATATTTGCCGTCGTCGTCAATGTTTGGCACGTAACTCAAGGTGCTGAGACTCTGATTATTTTCCACCGTGTACTATCAATAACAGGAAATTCCAACGTTATTAACGATCGAATGCATGTACAACGCGTGTTGTGCAACGACTTACGAAATGATATTATTATTCAAAATTTATGTTAATTCGGTGTCTTTTTTTACAAAATTTGGACAACTTTGTCGACTCAAAGCTGCCATATTTTTTCAGAGAGGAAACTCTGATATAATGATGAAGATTATTTTAATAGTTATTCGATTTTCTGATTGTTTCAGTGTAAAATAGCGTATAAACACACAATACATTTTGTGATCAAAATTAAACTAAGATTAGACACGAAAATTACGAATTTATTGGAAAGAAGGCGATCGATTTGCGGTAAATTCAAAACCGCGTACAATAGTTACTCGATTTCTTGACTGTTTCAATGTAAAATAACGCTAGGGTTGGACACAGAAAAAGAAAAATAAGCAAGAAGATGAGCAAAAGTATCAATTCAATATTTCTCAAATTCCAAAAAATTATGCCACGTTTCAAAGTACCTCCATCAACATACACTTCGTCACCGAAAGAAAAAACACTTTGAACCTTCGACTAATCTTACTACATCCACTATCTTTTCATCAACGTAACAGCACAAATGTAATGAATCTTACAACAAAATCAGCATATTTCAACCTTCCAGGATCCAAGCTTTTAATCACTATGCTATCGGTGTGCCATCCTGGACAGTACATTCATCGTCTCTACCAAACACCTTCCTCTCTACGTGTTTCCCATTAACCTCTATCCACCCCTTTACAAACCATCCCTCAATCCCGGCAAGATTAACGTCACCAAATTCAGGCAATCAAACAGTAAACAGATTTCACACGCGATGGTGGCCTCGAGCATTAACGAAAGCGTCCGACCGATTTGTCACTGGTTTAATATGAAAATCCATTCGGATACCGGCTCGCAACTCTCTCCTCCCCTTCCACCGTGGTACAAGAGGGATGAGAAAATAAAAGGGCGGACAGGAGGAGGGAAGTGAAAAGGAGATTAACGATTTTTCGGTATTTATGATGCAGACGCGTGGAATTGAGGAAAATGGTGGCCGAAAGGGGTAGTAGAGCAGAAAGGAGAGACAGGTCGATGACTGTCTACCGGCTGGATTCGAGCTTTCTGTTTCTCTTTAACGCCCACCACCGTGTAACCTTCCGTTTCCGCAATGTCATTTTAATGATAGCGCCACCAGGCATGCATATCGAGAAGAAGAAAAAAACCAAGTCGTGTATCCCGGGCATCGGTATCGCAAGAACGATGAATGGAAGTAACGGTTCGTCGGGATGAATGTCGCGAGCTTCCACGCATTCTCCATCTTTTTTATCTGACTGGCCTTTTACTCTCTATTTCGCTCGTTTTTTCGTCTCGCTGACGCCACGCGCTGACGATTCCTCTCTCTCATTTTTCCAGAGTAAGCTTCGCCGCGTAGCCGGTTCGATTCGGCTCGTTGCTACGCGATCGAATTTCCCGATAAAGCTCTTCGGACAGTGGAACCCCGGCGTCGATATATCTTGCAGGGAGATTGTGCAGGAGCGACGGGCAGAATCGCGCGCCCACCGGATACACGCGGACGGTGAAACTTATCCGCGCAGAAATTGCGGAAATCTCTTCCGAGAGTGATGCAAAGTGAATCAGATCTTTCGTGGCTCTAGCTCTCGCTTCATAAACCCTCTAGTCTCTAGGCACCGACGTTTCCACGGGATTATGCCGCCCTGCGATTTGTACCCTCGTTCTTTCCACGAGGATGATGTCGATGCGTGCGTCAGAGGAGCGTCATTAGAAAGATTTTCGATCGATTTTGTGTTGTGAACGAGGTTTGAGTCGAGATGAAGGCTGTCGAATGTTTTTCATCGATTAATCCAGGTGAAAGTTATTTTGCGTTGCACTTTATCAAGGGAAATTGTTTTGAAGAGGAACTGTGTTGGATAAGATTTACTTGTTAATATAAAATATTGCTGTTTCAGTACACAAGTGCAATGTGTGGTTGTATAACACTTGTTAACAAGTTAAATAGGAATATATTTTATAACAACAGTAACTATATACACACGTAAAAGAAATAATGATAATTTGATTGTCCCTCTCTAAATATATCTCGCAATAAATTCTCACGTACTCGCAGATATCAATAACAACGCGCTTCTTATGTTTTTACCTCCAGTTACCATGTATGATCCGCTCGTTCACCAAATCTCGAGACCATACGATATATTCAATTCATTCACGCCATCACTCACATCTTATTATTAAACCAATTCCACACAATGTTTCTAAGAAATCTGCTGCTTTTGAACAGATTTGGAGAAGAATCCTGATACGAACACTGTAAAATATTTCTTAAATTCAAGTGAGTTCAAATTATTTCTCACGGTAGCTGGATAATTATGTTACATTTTACTAAGGAAAATTATTCTGAACAGGAGCTCTATTGGACAAGATTATAATTTTGAATTTCAGACTTAATTCGTCCTCTTTAATACAACCAATTATTATTTTAATAGTTTGTTACATTAATACTGCACACGTATGGAAAAGCTTGTTTCGCCTATGTAACGAAGGATCCTGCAATTTTTTCAATAGCCCTGTAAGTACTAATTAGTGGAGAACTAACTATAGCTGTTACCTTGTATTAGAATTTATGGTAATAAATTAAAAGATATTATTTTAATTATGAATCTTCTTTATTTTTGATACGCGAGGAAGGCACGTCGCTACGCAATCAATCAAACAAACATCGACAAGACGCTGAGAAAAAAAAACATATCAGCGTCACCCATACTAAACAGACGGTTACTATGTCATTTATACATATTTATATTAATCTGCCTCAGTATGTTGATCATTTTTGCTGTTACTATTACACAGACACATACTCATTTCTCCAAATAATCCAACACCTTGAAATAAACAAGAAACTTACAATTCTCGAAAGTATCCTACTTCTTATTTGAACATTTCACGACCCTGGTTGAATGACCCTCGTACATACAAATGTAAGAGGTCAATGACCAGAGCGAGCCGGTCGAACTTGTTTTATTTAAATCCATGCGATACAAATAGGCGAAACGGGGGCCGTGGCCTCCGACGTTCGTTGTTATTAAACAAGAGCGAGTGTGTTTGTGTAGCGAAGAGAGCGAGCGCGGGTCGCGAAGACCTTATAAATCGGGAAAACAAGAGCGAGATTCGTTCATTTTCCTGCGAACCGATAAACAGTTACGAATTGCGTTTATCCTAATTATACAGCGTCGCTTGTTTCCTTTATCTCAATTATATTTTACCAATTTCCAATTTCATTTTGCATTCCGTTTCCAACACAAATTGCATCAAATTCATTCCTCCTATAAGAACACTCTGATTCGCTCTTCAACGACTCGCTTCCAAATAAATTCAACATTCCTTTTCACGCATCGCTCTCCACATAGAATCATCCGATTTCCTTCTGTACTTCCAGCGACAAGAACGAAATCCAAACTTGCCAGAACTTCGCAACAACTAGTTTCTGCTTCGAAACACAGGTAAAGTAGATTCGTTTTTCGAGCCGTGCAACGATTACGAAAGACAAACTTAAACGTGAAGCAGAATCGTTCCAAGTAGAGAGAGAGAGAGAAAAAAACCGCGGTGCGAAACGAAAGTGGAGGATCTTCGGTAATTTATCGAAGGGCGTGGAAAGAAAGAGAGAGAGAGAGAAGTGTACGGTGAATTGGAACTTTCATCCTGTCAGCGTCGAAGGAGGTGTCGCGGATCGAGTCGATCGAGAAGAAGAGAAAAAGGAGCATTTGTAGGAAAAACGAAATAACTTCGTTCCTCTAACTTCCTGATGGAATCGTCGTCAACTGCGAGAACTCTCGTGGCTCGACGATTTCGAAAATTCTCCTTAGAATCGTGCCACGCTGACACGCGCTTAACTCTGAATTCGAAACGCTAACGCGGTCGATTCGATTGGCGACTTTCGCGATTCGACTGATTTCGCGGAGGCTCGTGGTTTTCCCGTTTCGCGCCTTTTTTTTTTACTCTTCGATACGCATTCGGAGAACTGTCGAAGTTTGTCTCTCGAACGAAACTATATAGTGCATTCGTAGAGGAATATTTTATGACAGTTGTAGCAGTGAGAAAGTCTTACGAGTGAATATGGAACTTTTGACTTTCCGCGCGAAACACGGTTAAAGAGGTGAGAGTTCAACGCGACGAAACTTCCTTGGATATCGACATTCCTTGAGTGGCTGCCATTCGGATAGAAGTTTGTGAAATTTGTATTGGATAATAGTTTATTAAATTGGTATGAAGCAGAGTGTTTGTGTTATTAATAGGAGACTTTTTTTGTAAAAGTTATAAGAATATGGATAAAATGGAGGAAGAAAGGGTTAAGCTAATTTTGGGAAACAAGACAATTAGTGTGCAACAGCTTTCAAATAATGGTAATAAAGGTGATTTTACATTTTTTTGTTTTTCTTTTAATGGAAGATTCGAAAAGATCAGAAATGAGAGAAAATTGTTTAAATATTTCATAGCTCCATATTAATAAGCATTTCCTATTATTTTTCATTTGTTTCTTTTAACGAAAGATTAGAAATGAGAAAAATTATTTAAATATTTCATAGCTCTACATTTACCACTATTTCTCATTAACAAGATCGAAATTTGATGGGTAAAATGTGTTTGCAGTGAATTTAGACAATAAAAATAACGTTGTTGCTCTATGAAAACATTTCATTGCTTACAATTATTTGGACACGATTAAAAAGGGGATTTTAAACACGGCTGACTCTGTTATCGTTGACAGTCACAATGTTCACTTACGTTACCTATAATAAACAAAGTAATTCCACCGTTTCCATACACTTTTTATCACAATCACATTTAAAAATATATTCCCGGAGATTCTAACGTGATTCTCGTAACAACGCTTGTCCAAACAAATTCGCCCAAATTCGCCGCGCCAAATAAATAATCCCGGCAACGTACAGCGACTGAGAGAGAACAGCAAGACTCCAATCAGAATATTGGCGCGGGAGAGAAATTGCATTAAAGATAAAACGGCGCGTGCTGTTGAATATTACAAAATTTCAATTATTAGCACAGGAATGATTTTAATTATCGCGAATTACGTTTCCCATTGTTTTTAATATCGACGAAATCCTCTCCTCGAGCATTGTATTCCGGTCGTTCGAACGACAAAATTACGACGCGTGAATAAAGGACAAACCAATTTTTGTTACCGACGGAACAATATTTTCGCGATATGGTAAATCTACGGGTGAATGAAATGTACGCTTTCTGTCGATGTTTCTCGGAAATTAGTTGAATTTATTCACGATTGAAACTTACGTTTTCCACCTTTCCCTTAATCTGCTTGTTCGCCTTCCACCAAGTAATTATCACTTTCGGCACAGAACCACTCGTTCTGCACTCAACGTTGTATTTCTTGTCGGCGGAAACTCGAGGCTCCTTCGTCAAAATCTGCACGACCAGTGGCTTTACTGGAAAAAAAGGACAGAACGTCGTGTTTCTTATAAGATCGATAAAAGGAGATCGCGAAAGGAAACTGTCGTGTGTTCATCTCAACGACAATGTTTCCACTTTGATTTCTTATTCTCAACACATTTGACTTAATTTTTGGTAGCAACATTTTTCGATTCGCTGTTTTATGTTAATTTCACTGATAGTATTTTCAGTGTTTCTTTTTCGAACACATTGGATTTAATTTTAAGTTTTTTTTTCCCTTCTAATTTTCAAAGTGTGGTTATGAAATTCAATATAGCTGTGGTACTTATTAAGTGATTATAATTTCCAAAGTGTGGTTATGAAATTCAACACAGCTGTTGTAGTTATTAAGTAATTACAATTTTCAAAGTGTTGAATATGAAATTCGATGCATCGTCGAGTTGCCTGGGGGCAGGGAAGAAAATTTTGGTTCCTCCAAAATTCAGATTGTCTTGAAACTTTGCTAGTTTATACAGAAGATCGAAGGTGATATTGGGTAATTTCTATTCCGTTCCAGTTTCCAGTTCTTTAGACAAATTTTCGATAAAGCAAACTGCTCTTTTATATCTTATACAAATATGTCTAATATCGCAATTTCAGTCAATTATATTGTAAAATAAATTGTACATTTAATTTACTGTAAGCCTTTCGTATAAAATTAAATTTTACGTAGACAATACATACACATCAAATTATAAATATTCCATTTTATAAGAATCAAATAGGTTAATTTCCTA